TGGTTTTTTACATCCTTCCTTGATTAAATCAGTAAAAATTGTAAACATAAATGTCCTGCCAATTTTCTGGTTTCTGTTTCATTGTCTGCCAGTATTGCTACCAACTGTTTTGTTTTTTTTAAAGTTAAATCAATTATTAGTCATTTTCTGTTGGGTGGCAAGATGAGAGAGTTAGAGAAAACCTACGATGGCCTATCTGCTTTATCAGCTGGTCTGATCCCTTAGCTGGCCTTACCTGCAAGCCTGTGGTTAATCTAACTCTGAAGATATGATTCCAATTTAGGAAACTGTTTAAACTCATTGCTCTCACTGTTTTAAGTCCACTGTTGAAAAATACAGTGTTTAAACCTGTATTTAATGTTTGCACATTTTCCTTTTGGTATGATAAAAGGAAGAATTGTTTGAAAGATTTCTATAACAAAAAATTATCTTTTGCTCTTTTATTGACCTGAATTCAATCTTGCACCTTTTAATGTTTTTAGATATTTACAAGTAAGGAGTTCTGACTTCCCTCACCTTCTGCTGGGCAGCCATGGAGAAACTTTAAAGACTGAGTCTTTTAAAAAGGTCACCAACTTAAATAAAATCTGTTGTCCTGCTTAGCCATGTGATTATAACCCCAGGCACATGTAAACAAAAACATTTAAGCATAAAATAACATTGGTTCTTGGTGTGAACTGGTGGAAGTTTCCACTTAAGATCATTCACAAAATTTCTGTTTGTGTCAGCTTGATTATAATACAGTTCAAAGTTGTATTTTGATATCATGATAGATGTTTGTGATATATATAGAGTCTCTTCTTGTAATCTTGCACATCTCTTATCTAACCCTGACAAATCTTAGGCAATTAAATCACAACACCGTGTCCAAGGTACTTACCAAAACTACTGAATGATTGAAGATGGAAAAACAAACCCAATTCTCTAGTAAACGAAAAAAGGGCAAACTTTTAAATAATGTATATAATGGGGAAATGGGAAGGCCAAACTAATGGTATATACAAAAAAATGTTGAATACTGAATGTGCGTGACCATCTTCATAATACTTGTATACAAATCAAAACAGAAAATAGCAATGACTGAATAAAACAAAGAATCCGGAATGATGACTTCGAAATTAAAGTTCACAGAAGTTAATCTCCTATTCTGATTGAGCTCTGGGTATTTTCAAAGAATACTTAGATCTTTTGATGTGTAAATATATCGTTCGGAAGACTAGTCACAAAGAATTACATCTGAATACAAATTAAATGCATGCTTTTCATATTTATATTTGTAAAAATTTTTAAAAAAATATGTACAATTTTCCTTAAAGTTCTGTTGTGTACTTCTTTGTTCTGGCATATCACATAACTTCCTAATGAAATGCACTTAAGGTTGTAGCATGATATGAAAATGAAGGAACATTTGCAAGGCATATAATTTTATAACAAAGCCTGGGAAATGATGAGGCCACAGCTTCCTCAGACAGGAAATAGACAATCAGCTCTGAGATGTCTCGTGCCCTCGCCAGCCTGTGTGGGTCTGGCTTGGCCAGTAATAGCTCAGTCACAAAGGGGCTGCAGCCAAGCAGAACTAACAGTCATTTCAAAGGGCACAAGCAGGCAGGATGGAGGTGGTAGACGCAGGCTAGCAGTTTTGTGAGAGCAAGTTCAGTTGATGCCATGGACATTACGGCGGGCGCCACTTCTCTGACTGATAAATCAAATGTGAAGTACCATATGTCTATGAGGAACATTACTTCCTTATTTTTAGTAAAACAATTCTGAAACCTAATGTTCATGTCAATTCAGCACATAAAAAGAAGCATGCTTCAAGGCACAAGTAATTTGTTTAATCTTACCGATACTTATATATTAGCCTGATTTTACCCAAGCTTTGCATATCAGATTGGATTCTACACGGATGAATAACTTCTGTATCATCAGTATGTTAGGATTATAGGATTGTTTGCCTGCTCTAAGCTGAACCCCCATCCATGTCTTCAGTGTTTACAACCTCTAACAGATTCTCTTAAAGTATTAAACTTTATTTAGCACCATCCAGGTTCCTGTAGTTATCCCGTGTCTGCTATAGAAATGTATACCCAAAGTAAGATTCTGCCACTGCTATGTTTCACATATTGGGTTTTACAAAAAGTCACAACATCTTTAGTGGCCCCTTTGTTGTTTGCTACCAGCTCACTTCCTTTGGCTTTCTTTTTTGACACTCTTCCGAACAGGTTTCTGTTTTATAGCCCAGACCTGATGTAAACATATCCATAACCCTATTCTTGATCTATATATATATATATATATATATCTATATATATATATATATATATATATATATATATATTTCAAAGAGAAATATTTGTCAATGCTAGTTTCTAGATAAACAAGCTCTATAGCTTTTGTGGTGTTGCTACACTCTACTTTAATCTATTTAGTTTAGTTTATCATTGAGTGTACATTAATTTTACATATCACTGCTGAATACATTTTTGAGGGTCGAGAAGATTTGGGTTGACTTCCAACTTAAGCATAACAGTAGAAAAAAACTAATGCTAAGGTAACATCACACATGCTTTGGGCAGCAACAATGCGCCTGTTGCTTCATTTTTTAAGCTTGTACACGGTAAGGTGAGACGTGCTTCAGGATCATCTTTGACACCCCCGAAGCACATCCAGCAAAGTATGTAAAGATGCATCTGATGCTTCTTCTGCTCCTGCATTCAATGGTAGAGAGTGTCATTTCTATATTTGCTGTGATAAGCTAGTAAAAAGTAGTTTTAAATATATTTTTAAGCGAGAAAGTTCACTTCAGGAACATTGTCTGTGCAGTCAGTTCATAAAGATTACGATTATTTTGCGTTGTCACTCAGAATCCCCAACAGCAGCTTGGGGATTTCTGCTACTGTTCTTTGCGGCTGGAAGTAGATGTTAGTGTTTTTCAGGTATGTTGTATAAACTGTAGGCACCAGAATAATAAAAGATACATATTTTAACATATTTTGCTGACAGGTTTTAAGTCAATTTAGGCAATAGTAAACTGTTAATATTAAAGTTAAGATTTAAAAGAACATATTGAAACATAACAATTCTTTTTTTTTTAATCATGTATAGACTGTTACCGACACTCCAAAAATAAATAAATGTCACAAAGCCTTTCTCTAGTTTCTTTTATATAAACACCTAGTTTAAAAAGGTTTTATAAGGAGCTCCTGTGCCTTGAGAGCAAGTTTAGTTTAAACCTTAAGAGCATGTATATAGCAGAGCATAAAAACACTGATCTTAATGAGTATCATTTATACTAAAAAGAGGGTGTGATTTAGGGAGTTACCATGGAGCAAAAGGGGAGTGCAGATCCTAACCACAGAATCCCATTCAGGCAGACAAAGGAAAATCTCTGCAAAATCAAGACAAACAAGATAATTATCTTGCACATCCAACACATGCAGGCATGCATGCTCTCAAGCTTATATATGTAGGCTCATCACACATATAAAGATTACATGAAATTGCACCAGAAGCATATGTACCATTAAACCTAGCAGATTCACAAACCCTAATTTTCAGCTTAATGAGAGGCCATAAAGTGGGGTAGATGTGTGGTGCTATGAATACCCATAAGCTGGTAAAAAATGTTGTTTTGGTGTCCCATCAGACAGTTATCCATTCGGCTCGGGCTCTTAGATAAGGCAGAGGTTATTCTGCTGGATATGTGTGCACAAAATGATGTTTGATGAACACGCTTCCTGTGGGATTTACTGCATAAACGGCTCAAGACAAACAGAACCGAGAATGTCTGTAATAACCCCTCTATTAGCTGTAGACTAAATAAACTCAAATGTGTCTTCCTGGCTCAGTGCAAGGAAAGAGCTGCTTTTCATTTGAGATTCTTCAAATAGGCACCTGACTATTTTTATTCAGATATGACAGAATTTTCAAGCAGTGAATAATTCTATTTATTTATCATTCATTTAAGTTCAGATGCAGTTCTGTTCTGTTAAAGCCACTCAGCAGGAAGCTAACACTTAGCTGCTCAGTTTAAGCAAACAACTAACAGTCTGAAGGAGTCATCTACAGACACTTTGCCAAAACCTTTTCCCTGTGTAAGTCAAAGAAAGATGATATTATAAGCAAAGATAAACACACATTCCTGGATTCATTCAGATGATTTTCCTTTTTAACCATGGTACAGAAGAGGCTGGCTTACATGCTCCAACTTTGTGAGTTTACGCTGCAACCTGTAGATCTCCAACACTAAATTTGTCAAAAAACGTTAATGCTATTTTCTGATTTATTTATTTTTATGCAAAACATTTTTTGCCTTTTTCAAACTGTAACCAGTTAAAAGCCTGAACAAATTCTATTATTTCCTTTGACAGACCAAAACAAAGTGGTGCATAAAATCCACTGCAACAAGCACATAAAACCAAATACATAGGAGGTAGAGTCCACCTGTATGTGGTTTAATCTCAGTATAAATACAGCTGTTCTGCAAAGCTCTCAGAGGTTTGTTGGAAAACATCAGTGGGCAGGCGTTATCACATTAGCCAAAGAACACAGCAGATGGTTAAGCACTGAGGTTGCAGAGAAACTCAAAGCAGGGTGAGGTTATGAAACAATATTTAAAGATTTAAACAACTCATGAAGCATTGATCATTGTCTAGAAATATGAAAAGACAGCTGAACTATAAGCCAACCATGAACAGGCCATCCACATACAAAAAGAGCAATAGCCAGGATAGCAGCCAAGAGGCCTGTGGTTAAACACAACAGATAATTAGTGTCAAGACCTACAATGTAATAATGACAGATGGCATTTAAAGTGACTGACCTTGAGCTATTTTGCAAAACAGAATCTATAAAGATTTCAGTTTGCTTTTCTAAGTAAAAGTATTCCAAACAATTTGAATGTAACTCTAAAATTGTGCATTCATTTTGAAAAATAATTTTAAAAAAAGCTGAGGTGAAGGGATTTTGCATTAATCAGCACCAGATCATTGGAGATTTACCTGCTGCTTCCTCGCACTGGCTGCGGTTGATGTATGCAAAGTGGTGGTGGCAGCTCTGAGACTTGCACATGCAGCCGTTGGCTGTCAGGTTGCACCCTGAGAACATGCACGTCGGATTGGACGGTCCCACATATTTCTCTTTGCGTCTCTCCCTATGCTCGTGGCTTCGACCCTCTGTAACACATAAAACCAAAGTCATCAGTGAGTCACACATGTCAGCAGAGCTTAGAAGTGAATGGGGAATAACCACAGAAAGCCGGAACTTGTGTGTCATCACTATGAAATGTAAGTAGCTTTAGTCATCTTAAAGCAACATCTGCTATGGATTTACTTCTATCTGTGGAGATCATTCTACACTCTAATTCACATACTACTGTCTGATCCATTCCCTTTGTAGGGTTCAGAAAGAGAGATTGGTAAGATTAGGGCACACCTGACTTGCTGGCCTTCATGCAGGTCTCTTGGTCTGGATAGGTAAAGGTTTCCAAGCAAGAGTTACGAGCACTGCACACGCATTCATCTCCTGCTTTGTCGCAGCCAGTGATTTGAGGGCAGCGCTCATCTTCAAGGCCTGCATCTGGCTGGACAGGGAGAACTGTCATAGAAAACAAGGAGAAAAGAAAATATTAGACTAACTGTCAGACAAGATTTTGTAAGAGGAACAAAGAATGACTGGACAGAGGTATAATGGTTAAGCTATAAATATTGCACGCATCTACACCCCCTTTGTTTTAAGACAGTACTTTGGCACAGCCCTAACTAAAGTGACCACTGTATTTCTGGGTTTCAGTCCCTCCTCCTTTCTCTTTGTGCCACACTACTACAGCTACTGAGCCCGTTTGTTTGCTTTTGTTCCACAGTATGGGGCCCTCCCAGGGTGTGCATCTCTGGCGGCTGCAGCAACGCCTCCTCTGAATGGAAGCCACTCACAACAACAACTGCCTGCAGCCGTGTCTCTCATTGAGCCTCACCCCAAGATGGCACCATGCAGCTTATAGGCCCATTTGGAAAGAAAACAATGAAGGAATGTCACGTTAGAGATGTGTGAGCTGAATATCCAACAGGATCTTGGGATTAAAGGGCCCCACCGTACACATACCTCTTAGTGTTCCCTTACCTTTCATGCATGAATAATGATGCAGAGATATACCTCATGCAGAGATATATCCTTCATTGCATCACATACTAACAATGGCTGTTGGGTAAACATGGTGAGACAAACGGTGAGTTATCTATAAATCAACAGATTTCTGAAGGAAAGTATTATAATTTTGCCATTGGGATAGTCATCTGAGCTGTGGATCTTCTGAAGCTCTCTTGGAGTTTTCTTTGCTGCTTCTCTGATTATGTAACACTTCGGTGTAACCGAACTCTTCTTTGCACCATCGCAATGGATTTTACTGTATCTAGTGGTGTCATGTTAAAGCATGGGTGGAGGGGGGTGGGGATTAAGTATTTCTGCCCAGTGTTTAAGATTTTGATATGATGCAATATTTAGAGAACTGTGTATTCAACTGTGTTGATCTATCCTAATAAAGTACATCAAAAAATGAAAAAGTTCAAGCTGTATGAATACGTTCTCAAGGCAATGTATGTTGATTTTATTATTCCGCACTACCAGATATGCTTCCCTAAGAGTATAACTCTCCCTTGCTTTAATAAAAAGAGCTTAAGTGAATCAATGTCACAACAGCAGAAACAAATGTGAATGACTCCTATGCCAGGAGTGCCAGCCATAGTGAAATCTGGCCATTTGACAGAGGTGAAGGTAACATTACCTTTAACCTGATCCAGCCGGCTCTGTTAATGGCTCTCCCAGATGGCCAGTGAACTTGCAGGGCACATGCAGCTTTTCCAATAACTGCAGCCGAAATAATTTCCCCTTCACCCTAACATGATCCAAACATTTTTTTTTTCTATTCTGAGGTTTTCCTGCAACCTTAGTGCTTGTCTGTGCGGGGTGCTAAATCTGGCATGTATGATATGAGGTAGGAGTCAAAACAATCAATGAAAGGCTGGATACTAAAACATTGTTTTCACTAATTTTAGCTCGACCCTCCACTGAGGCCCTTTTGTTTTTAGTTGCCTCAACCCACGACTGTTCAGCTCAACCCAGGTCTGTTATAGCCCCTTCTGGCTATCTCTTTTCCGGTCTGGAACAACTCTTGCCAAAGACTATAAGGCTTCATTGCAGGGGTATTCCTCTCTTAGCTACTGAGACTGCTTGTCTTGGCACCCAGAATCAGGATGGGAAAGCTGACCTCTCCAAGCCCTAAGGCTGATACCAAGCTTAAAAGGAAGTCTTTGAAATGTTAGATAATACCAGAGAAGGCGGAAGTAAAAAGCATGTGATGGAGTGAAGTGGACATAGCGTCCCTGTATGTCAGGGATCAGTTGACATGCGGTGACAAGTGTCTCTTGAGCAAGGACATATGATTTAGTAAGAGTGTCATTTAAATTAAAAACCAGGGATAGCTTAGGTTCTTGGGATTTAAGCATGATTACAGATTGTCTGTTTTCGTTTTTTGGTAATTGAATCAATATCTATAGCTGACAAAGGCAGGCATACTCTTCCCAGTTAAAAACTGTGGGTTTTCCAGTAGCTGACCCCTGCCCCGTCAAAAATATTATACTATACTATTAATATTGTGAAAAGATAGAATTGTTGCCAGCTACTTTTCCACTTGATCAAATGACAGTTACCGGTATAAAAAGTACACATGGACAAGTGGAAGGAAACACAATAGCCCCATCTGACACTACTAGACAACACATCAGGAGAACAGCTCTGGTAGACGCCACAATGGCTAGGTTCTTAATGCAGGCCTTCATGGGAAATCCAATTCTTTTGCATGATAGTTCACATTTTAAAATATACGCAGCTTGTTTGTGATCTCCTGTGTGAACTGCATTCACACACCGTAATGTGTCCGGCATGCGCAGTAGAGGATGCAATGACGTCACAAGCTGGCCTGCTCTTTCCTTACGGAAGTAGACATGGATGGTAGTGCTGAAGCGCATCTTAAAATCTTACATTTCTTTTCCAACCTCAGCCAGTGCATCAACAACACAATCTTTTCAAGAAGGTTGGAAATAAATAAAGCTCTCTGCATTTTCAATGGTGGACGATAATGCAGATAATAATGGTTGTTGTTTTTCTTCCTGCTTCTGCGTAGCTAAATGCGGAATAGGGACCTTTGTTGAATATTAATGGTTTACAGGCTGGATAAATGCAACCTGTGTTTGAACAGCCAGGTTGCATTTATCTGACCTGTATGCCACTAATACTCATTAATACAGAAAAGATCAGATGCATTTTAGATTCATGACCACGTAGCCAAGTGGCTTAGGTTGCATTGGAAAAAAATCAGATCTCATAAAAAGATCAGATTCAGGTAGTATACGAGCAAAAAAAGCGGACACTTCAGGCTGCAGTGTGAAGGTAGTCGGCTGGTTATACTCCTGCAGCAGTGTGTCACAGTGAGCTTGTCACAGGTATAACGCAGACATTTTTGATTTATGCTTAATATTGAGGCATGGTCTGTGCTATGTTTATTTCACGCCACAACGCAAAAGGGGAAAATCACAAACTAGCTGTTGGTCTAGATATGGCCGAAGTGGGGGCAAGTTTGTCCAACAACAGGCGAAAAAGAGCAGGGATCCAGGTGGAAAAAGGGTCCCAGCGTTCTTGCTCAACTCGCTCTTCTAGCTGGTCCAACTTCACGAGTCGTTTTTCCACAATCGTACTCATACAAACAAAACAGGAGATGCATAAGTGTAGAGCGGATGTTGATCTGACCAATCAGATGTCTCCTGTTTGCAGCACTGTCTGAGGTCACCTACAATTTGGGAGAGGTGCAGCAGAGTGACAGTGGAAGGGGGCGGGGACGTCTCTGCGTTTACCGCAACACCTATGCAGAAGACCTAGTTTTGAAGTATAAATAAGCCTTAAGTGTGATGATATGCAAGGAGGATCCATTCATCTGCAAGAAACGACAAAGTTTCAAGGCATTCTTTATTCCTAGGAGTCATGGCATCACATCTATTTGTGACTGGCTTCAAATCAGCCAGCAGGTTGTCTAGCCGGTAAAAAGGACTGCTCTGTGCTCCTTCTTGCCTCAATGACTGCAGACATTTCAGCATGATGATCTGCCAGTTTGCAACCTTATTTCAAATGTGTTTAGTATAAAAGTAGAAACAGAATCTGAAATCCTTTCAAGGTTGAATAAATCACGTTTTGAGTGCTAATTATATTTATATACCATTCACCCAGTATTTTAAATCTTTTGATGATAAGGATATGTTCCGTATAATAATGATGTTAAACCAAATTAACAGTGCCAGCTGTTCTGCTTGTTTTAGAGACACAATCCTCGATGCGCCTGTATAGTAGAACAACTCATGTAACTCATGTCATCAATTATGCAAATGTTTTTATACATGCAAACATATAAACATATTTAGTAGACAATGTCCTTAATGTTATTTGCAACAAGACATAAATTCCAAGCCTGGAGTCTGTAGGGAATAAACATTTACTATGTATCTGCAGTAATTTCCAAATATACAGAAAAATATAAGCTCTATTACTATTTTTTTACTCTTTTTCTTAAATAAAAACCCAAATAATTTCTAATAGACATTTTCTACTGTTGCTTTTCTTCATAGTATAACTCTAATCACCAGGCTTAGCTGTCTAACTATAGCTATTGAAAATCACTACAATTTCCCTAAAATCTAAATGGGCAGGAGAGCAGAACGAAAAGAAAAACCAAACAAAACAGATCCATTGTTTAACTCAAACAATATGTAACATGTCATCTTTAAGCTTCCACACTAACTAGATTTTGACCACCCAGTAAACTTACTTGGAACACTAAAGCAGGGGTTTACAAAAGCGGAAACATTTATCCCCACTCTTGATTGTGCGGTTAATCACCATAAGGCCCTTCCAAGCTTGAGGGAGTGAAATCTGGGATCAGCCTTCAGCAGTCTGCCTACTACTGTGGCCCCTGAAAACACACTGGGAGGTGTTGATTTACCCCCACCCAGACCCCTTTGGGATATGAAGGCTGCATGCATACAGCGATCTTATTTAAGAGGTCAGAAGCAACAACAGAGGTACAGTATGACTAAGTCAGAGGAGCCATTAGGTCTCCAGATTGTCCCAAAGCTGTTAAGAAGCAGAAGGAGATGTCCTCCAGATGCCTAAAACGAGCCATAATCAGGACCTGCGTCTCCTGGGAACACCAGGGGGGATGAAGGACTGTGAAAACGCCGGACATGGATCCCCCTACAGATGATGAAGGGGCGGGATATCCTAACACCTACTGAGAGCTGCTTATGCTCTCAAACAATCCTGCCAGTCCCCTTCAATCATCCACAAACAGGCCGGACAGATTGCAGGTGGTGCAGCTGGAGGTGGTCCGTCCATGAGCTGTTTGTTCCTCAATGAAAGACCAAAACCTCTGACTTCATTCATAGGAATACAAGCTTCTTTGAGGTAGAGAAAGTAACTCAAATGGTGCATAAAATGAGCACCTCATAACAGTTTGGCTTTGCTTGGTGAGTAGACAGAACAGAGGAGCATTGTGGATTTCAACAAGTGCAAAGAAAAAAAAAATCTAAACTACAAACATCATACTGGAGCTACAGTTTAGTGAGAATTTAATGAGAAGCCAGAGAAGTTGCCAAAGTGACCAAGGATTTTCTCTGGCACTAAAAACTGAGTAACACAGAGTTATTCCTCCCCACCTCTTGTTGACTGAAAGAAAACAACTGTTACAGTCTTCCCTCCATGTAAGAAAGATTAATTTTGCTGTTTGGAAACAAAAACAGTTCAAATATAAAAACTGAAGAAGCACCACCCAGCTCTCTTATTTTAGTACAGCTGTTTTATATATTTAGTAAGTAATCTATGCTGCCAACAGAAGGCTGGCTACCTTAACAAATCAGACCAGATAATATCAGCCTATTCAACTTGTTTTATTTTAGAAGAGGTAGAACTGGAAAAATAATTTCAGCATCCTAGTAAATTCTAAAATTCTATCTAATTTTTAGCTTTAGAAAAAAAAAGTAAAGATGAAGTTATTTAGGAAAGTTAGGTGGTATTATAAGTGTCTGTTAATCAGAGAAAGTATATGGGTTTGAACATGACTCCTCTCTCTTCTGCAGTCAAAAGCAGACATGGTCACTGCTTCCTGGGCTAAACTGACACATGAACGGTGATGCTTTCAAACCGCTTACAATAACCGAGTAATTGCCAAACTGTGGAAATTATGCTTAGCAATGACATGTTCTACTCCAGTCTCTAGGTTTGCACTTAAAAGTAGTTTAACTCACATTTACAAACTCCAATTTCAGGTATGATGGCGGCTCCAGTGCTGTTGACAGTAGCGCACGTCAGCCCCAAGGCGCAGTATCCGTGCGCCCAGTCCTTCCCGCCGCAGGGCTCCCACTCCAGCCGCGCGCAGTGGTCGCAGCACCCGCATGGATCCCTGGCCACGCTGCGGCCACCCTCACAGCCGCGCGCGACTTTGAGTGGACAAGTCCGGAGGTTACAGGGCGTGCACTCGTGAGCCAGGAGCGCACGCACCAGGACGAGGAGATTCACCAATATAACGGTGCGTTTTTCAAACATGTTTCCTCCGGAATAATCCGCTACCAATAAAACTCCCAACGATTTACACCAAAGTTGTTAGGGCTCCTAAAAAGTTTTCTTACACTTCAACAATCTCCGAAAGAGAATAGAAAGGTATGGATTTTCTTGGTGGCACAAACATCCAGATGACCATAAATATCTAACTCAGCGTCCGCAGGTAGAAGCGCGTCCCAACAGGCGCCTCACCTGATTGTGCGCAAAAATCCAACACAGCGGTTGCTTAGTGAATGTAGGCAGGCACGCTTGAGTTCCCTGCTACTGTCAGCCACACACTAAAAAATCCAGTCTGGGTCTTAAATTGACATACAGGCATGTGGAAATTAGCGGTGCACCCCTCCCCCCTGACTGACACAGGCACCGACCAGTCACAAGGAAAGAAAGGAGGGAGGATTTTAACCGATGCTCCCTGCCAAACAACTTTCTTCTGTGTTGCGCAATAATGTAACCTTTAATGTTTTAAGTGAAAGTCAACTGGAGTAGCTTTTGTCTTCTTTTTTCATCTTCTTCCCATTTAAGTAGATGCAACAAAACATTTTACAATACAACTTAAACCTCCTGAAAGTGTTTCATAGGGTTAAAAAGTACCTGTTTATTGTTTTGGTTTTATTTTCTGGAAAATGTACTATTATGGACATGGAAAATAAATAAATAAATAAATATGTTCAACTCATTGAAGCCCTTTTCTTTTTCAAATTGTTATACATGATTTACAGATATAAAAGCCTCTCCAGAGGATATGTCTCATTTTTGACACCCTTTTCATCTTGGTCTAATGAGAATGAGTGATTGCTTTTGGTGTCTAATAAATATTTTATGTGCAGATGGCAGAGGAAACGAAAAAGGTTTATAATTTTACTCTGATAAGTAAACGTTTATAAATACAGATGTTCAGTGAAGGCAGAAAACAATTCAGTCTTAAAACAAACATGTCAAAGGTCAACTCTGGTCAGAAGGGTCTAACTGAATTTTTGGATCAACACTTAACATCACCTAACATGCAAGAAAACACCAGAACAATGCTCTTCTTTATAAATAATACACTGGGAAGCTGGTTAGAATCAACCCCACAATGAAGATGAGAATTTTGTATGGCAATCCAACCCAATGAGAGGGGAAAAAAACAAACTGTTAGATCCAATAAAAAGACCAGAGTGAAGGTTCACCTCTGTATGGGAAATTCTTGAAAGCATTATAAGGAATAAACACAAAAAAGCAATTTACAAATGTATGCCACACTTAAAAAAAAAAAAATCTGTAGAAATCATTTATAATAATGTATCACTTGCCCCAGTTATGAACATCTTATTTTTGGTCCATCAAGTGAAGTTTTACGTGTAAAATCAACAAACTGAGAAAATTATATGGTGTGTAATAAGATCTACAAGCTGGTACCCACCCCACGGTGTGAACCAACAGTTATGGCATGCTTTCCTCAATGAACTGCGGGAGCAAAGAAGCTATGATGCAGAGGAAGAACATCTTTAATTGTTTGCTGTCATCCTCAAAGTTTCTTCTCACCAAACACTCATCAGCTGTCCAATAAATTATTTTACCCAACTAAGTCAGCGCAAAACAGCAACTCCTTCATTTGCAACATCTGCCTGGAGCCACCCGCTCCAACACAAACACAACAACCAGGAAACTGGCCCCATAGCACGCATAATCAGCCCTTGCAACACAGATCATCTCTTGTCCTCTGTCTCTGCCCCTCCTTTTCTGCATCCTCAGCTTGGAGCTCTCATCAAATGGGATGATCTGCAGACTACTAGCCAACTCCTTACATTTTTTACAGATGCAATAAAAACGTATGCAAGCTCTTAAAGAAAGCTCATAAAGGCGGCTTCTGAAGAGGTCACAGCAGCACCTAAGTATCTATATCTCATCCCAAATACTTTATTCTATCCTACAGGTGACCCTTACTGATCCTCCACCATTATTAGACTTTCTCTGAGCATGAATTGGGTGTCAAATATTTCACGAATGTGGCATTCGGATGATATTTCCCATTGTTAAAACTTTCACCAGTGAGCTCCAAGCCACATAAGGTCCGGCTAATTGCATGTTTCTAAACACAATTGTGTCCTAAAACAGAGCAAATCACAAAACCATGTGCAAGTATAAACTCTTTGCTGATCAGAGAGGAAAAGATGAGGCTCTGAAGGGAGTTTTGCACGGCGTGAATAGTGGTAGTGTGTATGTGAACACTATTCAGAATCACAGGATCACTGAGAAAAAACAAGACATCAGCTCTCCTACACCAGAGCCCATGTTGTGATGATTTAGATCCAGGCAGTTGCTTAATGTGGTCTAATCCTCCCTGACCACATCTTTGACTCATTGGTGTTGGTTATTTTCCAGGCAACATCTCTTTTCTGCAACACACTTCTCTTTTTCCTTATAGCTATTTTTCGGCGGATGCATTAGAAGTGTAGGTGTGAATATGTTTTCAGGGTTTTTACTATGTGCCAATGATGGTTGTGGAAGTGAACTAACTATTGGCTACAACGATTGACTGATAGTAACAAAAGACTGAATGTAATGTGTGAGATGGAGTGGTGAATGTATGTCAGGGGGAAGTGTTAGGCACACCCGATTACAAGTCCACAAGACCTGCACTTGAATTTTTTTCCTTCACAGTACCAGAGTACTGTGCTGGCTATCTGCCATCTTTAACTTATCTCTGCAGGAGCACATGGTGCAAGGGTTCAGCCATGCTTCCCTGATCCAGGGAAACGGGTGGAGGTGGGGCTGCGGGTGATGATTTGTGCCATAATGGCAATGCATAGTGACAGTTGAAAGGGTTTCAAAGCAATTCGGACGTCTACTAAATAGCGGAAGTATGGAGAATTTACTGCTGAGACCAAGCAACACACTCACTAATGAATAGCCTGGTTATAAGTCACTGCTGAGGAGATCATCTGTTTTTTATAAAAGCAATAGCCATCCAAATAGAAAACGAAACATTTCAAACCATACCAGTTATCGGATTAAAAAAAGACAAGTCACAGACTTGTCCAAAGTAATAATAAGTGCAACTCTGCGTTGTCTCTGCAAAAAGCTGTATGACAAATTGTAAATAAATCATTCAATGATCATTGCTATTTTTGCTTTTCAATACTATTTCTAGATAGAGGTGTCAATATTTGTTTTTCACACTTGGGACTTCATTTGCTTAGAATCCAGTGGGGAGTTTTCAAATGTGAAAAATAGCTTTCTGCCAAGAGAGTTGCATCATTGATGGATGCTCCATGCAGTGTTGTTTTTGACAGCCATCTTAGACTTAGCGGATCAGTTTTAACACATCATATTGGTTAATATAGCATACAGACAAGCTAACAAAATGTACAATAAAGGAATGGTTTTTGACATACAAGGTTTCCATCCCAAAGCAAATACTTCCTGATCTACTATAAATTATGCATTAATCTTAATTTTTCTAAAAAAGCAAAAAAAAAAAAACATTCTTCTTTCTACTGTCTCAATTTTGGCTTTATTTCTTTAGTTTCTCCCTTGGTTACCACTGCTCAGTGGTCAAAGTATATTTAAATTCAAAGGGTTTTGATATAAAAAAAAAAAATACAGAGAGAACCTACATAATTGCCTTGTAATGCCATGGCATTCCAGACCTACATTGAATGAATATGTTAACTAAAATGTTGACATATTCAAAGGAAACATAGAAAATGTTTGTGAAAATACAAGAAAACATTTACATCATATTCAACTATGAGAGAGGAATATTCATAGAACTATGTACCTTTTCAACTGGCACTTTGTCCTACAATAAACAGTATGCAATGAAATGTTTTCTTTGGATATAATTTAGGGATTCCTTTTGGCAGAAATTAAACAATGTTTAGTATCACCTCTTGTGAGCTGGAAGAAATAAAATCGGGATATTTAGACAAAGAGATTTTTTACGCTTTGCAGAGGATGATCAGCCACATATAGTTTATTAAGTAGCGAGAGCAGGAAGAGCCATATTGCTGAGAGTGAACCATCAGAGTGGAGTGCGAAGCGCAGACTCTGGGCTACGCGTGCACAAATACGCATTTCAGCACAAGCACATCTAGAAGATCAATTTGTCTGAGTTCAGCATGCAGTGCCGGACCATTCTGGGTTATTTTCTCCCCTGCCACTGCTGCCATGATCAATCTGTGGTCATGCAGAATGTGTAGCACCGCATGCAGGATCAAACAAGATGCAGCAGCACAGCTGCTTAGCAGATTACAGCACAATGATGCATTTTAAATGTCTGACTGACCACCCTCTAATTTTTATTTAGTCTCATCTCGTTGACGAAAACTCAATCCTATGACTATTCATGTTTTAGTCATCATAGATCCATGTTTAGCTCATTAGTTTTTGTTATCGTCATGAAAAAAGAAGTGTCAACGAAATAATTTCGTCATCGTTGATGAAAACAACACTGGGTACATGGAACAAAAATATGCTGTCTGAGAATTGCAACCTAGTCCAATCAGACTTAATGGGAAACTCCATCCATCCATCCATCCATCCATCCATCCATCCATCCATCCATCCATCCATCCATCCATCCATCCATCCATCCATCCATCCATCCGGGTCACAGTGGGGCTGGTGCCTATCTGCAGCATTCAATAGGCAAATGACATGCTACACCCTGGACAGGTCGCCAGTCTGTCGTAGATGCAAAACAAACAACAATTTTTCCATGCAAACTTAAAGATAATTTCAGTCTTTTTTAATGGAGTCTTGTCCAAATTCAATCTTTACAATTTTAAATCTTTCAAATTTAGGAAACCCAAAGCTCAACTGGATTCTCCTATTCTGAAGATTTTTTTTTTAATACTACCTTATTTAATAAAGGCAGTCTATATAAAGAGAAACACAGTTATATTCCCAGCAAAATAACTAAATAATAAGAATAATTGTCTAATTTTGTAAACATCTTTTGTTTTTGTTTTCTTTTCTGCTCTGTGAGGTCTGTTTCTATTGCTATTTTTCTTGCAAGTCCTATAATGACTAGTCTTGACACCATGAGGTCTCCTGCAGTCGGCTCCCACCCATAGTAGTCAAAGCAGCAATGTTGCACAACAGAGATACATAATCTTCTCGTTTTGCTTTTTAAATGGTGCTGCTTGAGCTTTAAAGGGTTCAGTGAGGTCACATAGTGCTAAGGGTTCGCTACGGACCTTTAGCTTTGTAGTCTGTGAAATGGCTGCTTTCTGTTAAGAGGACATACATTTAGAGAGCGTTACATTATGCACCGAAAGGTGAAACTGTTAAAAGTGGAGAATCTTGACTTTCATATTCTTGTAACAGCACAA